GTGTGTGTGTGCGTGTGTGTGTTTATGGGGTTATGGGGTATTGAGGGCTGGAGTTGCTCTTTAGGGCAGCAAGGGGCTTCTCGCCGTCACCCTGGGCCTGCGCACCCACCCTCGTCCACCCCTCAGCCTGGCCCAGCACGAACATCAGGCGGCGTAAATGTGCCCCAGTGAAACCCACTGAACACAAATCCTTCCCACCTTGACAGCTCCCTCTGAACGCTGCCAGGAGTCCCAGTGCCAAAAAGCACTGTTGCGGCTGGGCCACAGGAAACTCAGTTGATGCTATGTCCTATTTTAGGGGCACTTCCCAAGAAACCCCAAGAATCTACCACCAGTCCCAGAAGGGAGGATGTCCAGCCTTTCACATAGCTCTGTAGACGCTCAACTCACATCTACATCAGGGGTAACTCCATGTTCTGGAAGCGCACGCTGGTCCTGACTTTATTTGCTGTGTTTTAAAGATTGTGGGGAAAATGCAAAGTTTCGTTTAAGACTTTAAAGCTCCTTGAGATGGCTGGGTGCATGAACATCCCAAAAGCCTTACGATACATGTAGGGTAGCAGGTAGGTCTAAGGCTTCCCTAACACCATAAGCAAAATGCCTTTCTTCAGCTGCTGTATATGAAGCAGGAGCCCTGGTGGTGCAGTGGTTAAGTGCTTGACTGCTAACCAAAAGTTCGGCAGTTCGAATCCACCAGCCCCTCCTTGGAAACCCTATGGGATGGTTCTACCCTGTCCTATAGGGTTGCTATGAGTTGGAATTGAGTTGACGGCAGTGGGTTTGGTTTTTCTTTTTTTTTTATGTATGAATTTTAAAATAGTCTTTGGTTCATCTGAGGCAAAATCAGATTTTTGAAAACAGCATCTGCTTCAAGTCCATTCTGTCTCCCTCAAGACAACTGGGTGCCTTGTCTAAGTCAGAACTGCCTGCTAAAAAGCACAGAGGCTGAGTGGCATACCCAGAACATCCCCATCTGCTTTGACATGTCCACACTTCATTAGTTTTAGTTTACATAAAGGAAATTAATGATAACATTTTTTCCAAAGCAGAAATTTCCAGAAGACGACTCCAGCTTAAAACAAAACATAGCATGTTTTTCATTAAATAACCCCCCCAAAAAAACTCAGAAAGGAATGATGGCGGCTCCAAGAGATGACGTGCCTTAAATTACAAAGTTTGAGAAATGAAACTTGCAACATTAGCCTGGAGATTTTTCTCCTTGATGATATTCTGCAGACTCCCTCTCAAGGGTAAGTCCATTTTGTAATTGTGGGGTGGTGTGGATTTTTATTTAAACTTGCCATTGATTCCAACAGAAGACTTGGGCATTTAGGAAAGAGTGATTTTTTTTTTTGGGGGGGGGAGAAAAACAATTCCAATTGAAGCCTTTTTCTTTGCAAAAATTATAATTCCTTTCAAGTTACATTTCCAAAAAACACATATTGGGTTGGTGTACTTAATATGTTAATGTTTTTCTTCCTGTGGGGCTTCCTGTGCCTGGCCAAAGGTAGATGGATTTTATACTGGAAACCGCAAATTTCTGGAGTTAACCTGGCTGGGTAGGACTTGGGTAAGGATGGGGCTAGTTTACAATGAGGGGATTTTTTTCAAAGCTGAGAGCTCCATCAAGATTTCTTTCCACCAATTTCAGTTGGGACTGGCAGGAAGAGAGAAAAGTGGGCAAAAACTGGCCTTTTAAGGCTGAAAAGTAATGTGCATGATTCATAAGTTCAACAGAGACAGAAGTTACATGGAAAAAGCATGGGGTACATCTGGAAAGAGCAAATGTATATCAAAAGGCTTCCTTTCTTTTGTTCTTCCATGGAGACTGTTCGCACATCAGATTTTTAACATCTTTTAAAGACACACATACACACACACACTCTTAACTGATGATACGAAGTATCAATATAATTTTCTTCCTTGGAAATATAGGGGAAAAAAATGCCTGTATTTGGGTATTCTGAGCTGCTTTCCTGCACGTGGCCTTGCAGGAGATGCCACATTTCAAAGCCAGCCTGAAAATGGCTTAAAAACTCCAAATCCTCCGTTGTGTGTGGTATGAGAGCGAGTCTTCATCTCCAGCTGTTAGAGCCAAATTATCTACCCCTCACATCCAAGCGGTGCCTAATCAACGCTTTAAGGATCTTGAACTTGATCCCTTCTCTTCAGACTAGGCAGTAAATTTAAACTTATGAAAGGAGAGCTTGCGAAATAATGTCAGACTAATCAACTAATTTCTTCGACAATGTTACTGCATCCTTGCCAGCTAGATGCTACTTAGCAGCCGTTCAGATGACACTGGGGCCAGACCCACAAGCCACCAGGTAGAGAGTTAACTGAAAGGTCCACCTTCTCTCTTCTTCATTAACAAAAAATAAACACCCCAGCTGAGTGTCAACATATGTTCTTGTAGGAAAATGCCTCCCTGGATTCTTAAAAAGTGTTACCATACCTCTAACTCAATTCACCACGACCTGGCCTGGAGAGTGTTTTTTGATTTGTTTAATAGTCCAAAGGTCAAGGTCGCCAGTACTGGGAAAACATTTGAATGATCTCAGTGCTGTTCCAAGTAGGACCTTTTTTTTTTTCTGGTGAGTGGGCAGGCAATAAACAGGTCCCTGGGTGGTGCAAATGCTTTGCTCTTGACTACTAAGCAAAAGGCTGGCGGTTTGAACCCATTCAATAGTTCTGTGGAAGAAGGGCCTGGCGATCTGCTTCCATAAACATTACAGCTAAAAAAACCCTATGGAGCAGTTCTGCTTTGTAACACATGGGGTCATCGTGAGTCAGAATCCACTCCACCGCAACAGGTAGCATAGTAGTAGGGCAATAAACACAAACCCAAGCCCAAGGGTTGGCGGGAGAGGGACGGTTTCACACCTATGGTAGGGGCTTACCTAACCTAAATCTTCCACTTGTCAATCCTCCACTCCAGAATGCTGTCAAAAACCAAATAAAATGACAACAAAATAAACCTTAAAAAAAAAAAAAAATCAGGAAAAAATTTCAATTGACAAAGTAATTGGAGAGAGAAAAAAAGAAAATCACCTATATCCCTAAGCTAGTGTTTAAGACCCACAGGCTGGGAAAGGCAGCAGAAATCAAACTGGAATGCTTGCGGTGGTCTCGGCTGCACCCTCACTCCCACCCCCGCAACTCCAGGCTGGCGGGTAAGGACTGAGGGACAAGGGCAGGCTGCCCTGCCCTGCTCCCTGGGACTAGTGCTGTTTGGGGAGGATGAGATTTTTCAGCATGTCAAAGGAGTTGCCATCCGGATGCACAGTCACGACCTCGCTGCCTTCCTGATGCACTTGAAGGAACCCGGAATCATCTAGGCCGACTATGGATACCTCTGGTCCCTCCATGCTTCCCAGATGGACTTGCTGACCACTGGAAATGAAGAACAGCTGGCTGTCACTGGGCACTGGAAGGCATCGGCTTAACACAATTAGTTAAGTGACTATTCATTATGCAAAGTGCTCGGGAGTGTGGGGGAGAGGGCTGAGGCTAGGTTCTGTTAAAATGCACCGGGTCTGAGCTCTGACTTGCGCTGGTGCCACAGGAACTGTTTTGCTAACCACTAACAACCAGGGTGACAGAACGTCCACTAGGGAGTTAGGAGTTTCCTGTCTGAAAAACGACAGCACCCCTCCTAAATCCGTGATGATGGCCTGCCCCGCTTCCTCACACCCAGCACTTTCAAGAAACACAGCACAACCTTCGAGGTTCTTGGGGGAAAAAGAGCTGAGTTGACAAGAAAAGTCTGATCTCATAAAGTTGGGTGGTATCAGCTCCAAGTTCAACTCATGTTAGTACTACATCTCTTGAACATTCTCCAAATGTACCTGTTAGGTCACAGCCTTGACGAGACTTTTAGAAGTACAGAATATCCCCCCCCTTCAAATTTTTATTTGGAAAAATTTCAAACCTACAGAAAAGCTGAAAGAATAGGAGAATAAATCTCATATTCCCTTCACCTACATTCACTACTAATTACTAACAGTTTCCATATTCAATTTCTCTTGCTACACACACACA